CGGTGGAACTCAACGCCGGTGGCTTCTCCGGCGACACCATCTACTCTACGACGTTCGCCATGACCATGCGCATCTATTGGTGACCTCAACCGGTGCTATGGTGGTGGCTAGAGGGGTTGGCGAGTAACACGGCGGCGCACGGCCACGGCACGGCCGGCTCCGGTGAACTGACGACGACACAGCCCCTATCGGTGACCCTACGAGCTTCGGTGGTGTTCCTATGGCCTAGCGCATGGCAGAGGAAGGAATGGGAGCGGCGCGAGGGCAGCTGGCCGCGTGGAGCGCCAACTCCGGCGAGCTCCCGCCATGGCTGCGGTGGGGGAAAACGGCAATGCGCTCTTACCGAGGCTCAAACGACTCGATTGAACGGTGGAGGTGATGGAGGGGAACACGGCGAGGCTCAGGGTGAACGGAGCAACGCGTTTTTGCGGTGGTGAGCGCGCACGACGACGGCGACGTGCGGTTGGCAATGGCGGACGGCTGCGGTGGCTTGGCGCTGCGCGCGGTGAAGGCGAGAGAGGGAAATGGCGAGGCACAGAGAGAGAGGCGAGGCGTGGCTTTCATCTGGAGCTCAAGCACGCGACGTGGAGGCCTCGGCTTCTCATGCGCGCCACGCGGCGAGAAGCTCCTGCTCCGGTCGGCCATGACGGTCACTGACCGTTTTCTGAAAATGGCGATTCAGTCATCGATTGATCCGACTGACAGCGAGTATTCCTCGTGTCAACACGGCTAAACCAATGACCCTTATCAAAAACTATGTACATGAAATTTGTAGGTGTACCATCCCTCTACAATTTCTTTTCAAGGACCAACACCTAAATCGTCGTGGATCCGAAGTTACACGAAGCCAAAGATGGCTCGATCACACTGAAATGACATCAATGACTTAGCAAGATTTTTCAGTGTTGATTAGCATGAAATTCTGACTTGTGGGCCATGTTTGACCATGTTCTACACATTTTCATGAGTTGGCCATAAAACAACCTTTGTTCCTTGATAAATTTGCTACAACTTTTGTAAAGAGTGCACAACCATGCAAAGTCTCTAGGTTGCACTTTTTAAACAGTCAAACAATGACACTCCAAGGGTCAATTCAAGTCAAACTTGCACTTGAGGGCATTTTGGTCATTTTGATCTACATGAACAATGTTCCAACAAGTAACCTAAGTATAGTTAAGGTGTAATAGACCATGATCAACCACTTTACAAAAATTGTTATACCACTTCTAATGATCACATGTGATAAAGAAAATAAAACAATCAATTCATTGATATGTTGCAATGCAATGTTTCACATGTTTCAAGACCTTGTTGCCATTTTTATAATTGCCACATTACTACCATATTGCCATGTTTCCGAGTATGAGAGTTTCATGTTACATTCACATGTTTCACTACTATTCACAACAATCAAGCATGAAACATACCCAGTTGAAATTGTTGCACATGCATGTTTCAGTAACAATGGCATGATGACATATATAATGCACATGTTTATGAAATGACATGCGATTTAGTGGAAACCAAACACCTAGGGTGTTACAGGCACTGTGGGTGGGTTGGGTTGGTTTTGAGTTTGAGCGAAAATAAATAGGTTACACCATAAAATATATGAGCCTAATTATGAAAAACGAGATGAAGTATATGGTTGGAAGAAAAAAACCACCATCTCCCCTTCCGTGTTTTCTTACCATTTTCATTCAAGAATAATAATAACAACAACAACAACAATAACAATAACAATAAAAATAAAAATAATAACAATTCTCTTCTCTTTATTGTTGTACAGTTACATATATGTCATTAATATGTTTGTTCTGAAATGAGTATAATATTGGACAAGAAATAAAAAGTTAAGACTTCGTACATTGTATATGACTCGGACTCATAGACCATACTCATACAAGTTATAACAACTCATATCTAGAGATGACATAGGGTTCGACATCTATAGTATTGGGTTCCGTTGCAACGCACGAGCACATTTGCTAGTTTTAATAATCATAAATCACAGAAGAGGGTAAAGAACTTGGAGATATTCTTTTACCGGTTATTTTGGATCTCTTGCATCAAAGGATAAAAATAAACATATCAAAAAGTATATCTTGCCTGCGATGTAGGTAAGTGCGTTTGAATTTTTTTGCCCTTTTTTGACTGATTGTTGTTGTATCCTCTAGCCCGAGCCTCTGTTAGATATACTCTTTTTGGAGTTTAGAGACTGGGATGACACGGGCAAATAAGTTTGATGACCTAAAGACGTTTCGCAAGTTTAGGAATCGAGATGACACAGTAAAACAAGTTTGAGGACCGCCAGTGAACTTAACTCTTATGAATTTTGGAGAGACCTGTTACATAACCTTATGTGTGCAGTGGCCAGTCTTAGCCGGTGATTAGTAACACTATATAGGTAAGGGTACCAGTGAGTGCATCGATTTTTCGAGGAAATGGTGCAATGCATGTATGTTGTTGAAAAAAAAAGATAAGTACAAACACTTTACAAGAGCGATCCTAATGCTTTTAGCCGAAATCCTATAAAAGATGGAAGCATAAGGATTGATTCGGGTCAATATGGAATTGTTACCGCACGCTCATTATCTATTCCCCTGGTTGGTAATAATAGGAGTGGTGCAAATAATCTATGCAGCTTCAACTTCTCTTGGTCAACGAAATTTCAAAAAAAAAAGCCTACTCCTCCGTATCTCACATGGGTTTCATAATTATAGGAATTGGTTCCATAACCAACATTGGACTAAATGGATCTATTTTACAAATATTATCTCATGGATTTATCGGTGCTACACTTTTTTTCTTGGCGGGAACGGCTTGTGATAGAATGCGTCTTGTTTATCTCGAAGAATTGGGGGAATATGTATCCCAATGCCAAAAAAATTTACCATGTTTAGTAGCTTTTCAATGGCTTCTCTTCCCTTGCCGGGAATGAGCGGTTTTGTTGCAGAATTAGTAGTATTTTTTGGACTAATTACTAGTCCTAAATTTATGTTAATGCCAAAAATACTAATCACTTTTGTAATGGCAATAGGAATGATATTAACTCCTATTTATTTAGTATCTATATTACGTCAGATGTTCTATGGATACAATCACCTGATGTGGCCGTTGATCAACTCCAAGAGTCTATCTAAACTTTTTTTTTTGAGACGAGAGTCTATCTAAACTTCAATCCCTATAGAAAGCCATTCCAATAATATTATTTTCTTATATTTTCTTGATAGAACTATCATGGATTTAGATAGCGGTAGCGATGTAGCCTCTCCACCAGTGAAGAGCGGCGATATGGTTTTAGAGGGCAGAAAAGACAGAAAATGGTTTAAAAAGTAGATTGAAGCCTGTTTTTGATGTACGTGCACATTAACACGTTGAATTGGCCATGTACGCAAGAGCAGAGAGGGTGGAGACGGAGAGAGCGCACCACAGGGCACGATCGATTGCTGGGGTCCGGGGGAGGGGGAGGCAGCCCAAACCGACGCGCACATGCATCGCGCGGATTTGAAGCGTCGCTGGTGCCGTGGCCCGTGGATTTCGTCGTCGTTTCGCGAGGGGTTCCATAACGGGCACCCACACCTCCGATCCGTCACCACTACTCTTTATAAAGGAGACCACGTAGACGTCCGCGCCACCATCATCTAATCACCTCGCCAGTTCATCTCCCACCGCCGCAAACCTAACCACCAGTTCGGCCGGAGAGCAAAGCGATCGAGGGAAGCAAGCGCGCTGCCGCCGGCGAAGAGGCAGATCTTCGTGAAGACGCTGACAGGGAAGACCATCACGCTGGAGGTCGAGAGCAGCGACACCGTCGAAAATGTCAAGGCCAAGATCCAGGACAAGAAAGGTGATCCATCTATCCATTGCCTCCTCTCTTTCAACCTTTTTCTTGTTTATTAGATAGATCGATTAACTACCTTTCCAATTGGCCCAAAGTGGACATTGTTGACTGCCTTGCTTGCTTGAATTTTAATTTGCATGCAGGCATCCCGCCGGACCAGCAATCTTCGCCGGGAAGCAGCTAGATCAGGGGCGGATTTGGGCCTAGGGCCACGGCCCTAGGCGTGGCCCAAATCCCCCTTATAGCCCCTTTAATTTCATGACCCAACTATGTATATCATGCAGTGGCCCTAGTCAGCCCAGCGAGAAAGCATAAGAGCCAGGTGCCCAGCCCAGTGTGTCATTGCCTGGAAAGTGCAAACTACTTTCTCTCCGCCGCGCATGGCTGTGTCATACCGTTTCACCTTTTCCTGCTCCTGTGCTCCATCCTCGTACTAATTTGTAGAGGAGGAGCAAAGCCCTAGCCACCTCCAGCCAGCCTCCTGGCACCGACGGCCGGCAGAGCCTACGCTCAGGCACGTGCTCCATGCTCGGCACCTTAGCGGGCTGCAGGTTGCACAGCTGCATCACCACCTAGCGCAAGGGGCACCACACTGCCGTGTGCCGTATGGCACTAGGGCGCACCGCCGCCTGAAGCGAACACCGGAGCCGGACGCCCAGGGCCCAACGGTGAGCACCCAATTAATCACAGTATAGTCCCAACTAGAATCATATTAAATGCAAGACCGAACAATCCTTGTCGGCTAGCTAGTCATAAGGCTTTTCTCGTCATTTTTTTTTTGCATGAAGGGAAAATCTGAATGAAGAGACATCAAAACTAGGCACTATTAATTTTGTTTCTCTTATCAAAAGAAAACTTTGCTTCTCAAATTTTATCCAGTCACATACCCAATTAAGTGTGTAAATTTTGAGAAAATTAAAACATAATTATTCTTAACTATGATATCTATCTAATGAGCATTTTTAAATAGTTGATTCTATATTAGATCACGGATGGTTTACATACTTATATATAGTGGCCCTAGGCGTTAAATTTGACGAGCTTCGCCACTGAGCTAGATGACGGGCGCACCCTGGCCGACTACAACATCCAGAAGGAGTCCACGCTGCACCTGGTCCTCCATCTCCGCGGCGGCGGCCGTGGCGGCTACCCCACCATGCGTGTGCCGTGGGACCTCATCAACCTTGCCCGCAAGCACAATGAGAGCAAGATGATCTGCCGCAAGTACGTGTAACCTCTGCCTGATCCTTATCGTCTACTCAGATGTTTAAACTGTGTGACCCTTATCGTCTAATACTCATCTGTTTAACCTGCTAATTAGCTCTGTCACGCAATTATACGCACTGTGATGTGTAGTTAATAATGCCGCTCAATGCATGATACAATCTGCTAAATTGGCTTCAATGTAGTGGTCACCATATGCATGTACTAGATTATTTTTACATACATATATTCCAATCCAACACATGAATTGAAAATGTGAAATATATTTATTTGTAGTTTTATATCTTGATATACTTTCATAATGTTAGATTTTTATTCGATTTTGTACATCTGGTACTCGTTATTGTAGGTATTGTTAAATGGTTCGGCCTACAATGAATTGTTTAGTTTGTGGAGTTGCCTTCTTTTGCAGCAGCTAAATATTGCAAAATTTAGCTGTTCTTCTATCTGCAAAGTTTGGTTGATAAGAAGTTGAATCGATGCTAAAGTTTTCTTTTTCCAATGTATTTGATTTGATTTTCAGGTGCTATGCACGCCTTCACCCCAAGGCCGCAAACTGCCGCAAGAAGAAGTGTGGCCACAGCAACGCGGTGAGACTTATTTTTTAATTTCTCTGCCACAAGTGTCATCACTTCACCATTGTAACATCAGGAACACTCACTATTTTGTTGATCCATTAGCGTCTTCTTTATGTTGTCCTTGACCGAAATAAATCCACGGTATTTCTGAGTTCGTATTGTGGTCCTTCCGGCTCCCTCTCTCCAAAAATGAATCAATTTCTAGAATCACCTTAAATCAAATTAATATCTTATATTTGATCAATTTTATAGAAAAGGGTAACATCATTTGATACTAAATAAGTATATATTATGAATATACTCCCTCCATTCCAAATTATAAGTCGTTTTGACTTTTTTGGTACATCTATTTTGCTATGCATCTAGACATACCAAAAAAAAGTCAAAGCGACTTATAATTTAAAACGGATGGAGCATATTCTATGATATATCTAGTAATGCTAATTTAGTGTCATAAGTATTAATGTTTTTTCCATAAATTTGGTTGGTCTTAAAATAATTTGACTTAGGGTAACTCTAGTCTAGAAGTTGATTAATACATCGGCATCAATAAAATAAAATTCCTAGTCCAAGTTTTCATTTCATTCTATGCTACACAGTATCCATAATTGCGTTTTACAACAGTTTGTGCATAGGCATGTTTAAATAATTAGCAGCCGACAGCATTAATTATTAAGTTGTAATAATCAATAATGATGTTGATGTATCAGTCCTTTGATCTGATAGTTTCCGAACATTGCTCTTCTTTTCAGCTGAGGGCAAAGAAGAAGCTCATGTGAGCCATTTGGAAAGCTAGCAAGTCCGAAAGTGCCGTCTGTCAGCTGAATAATTGTCGACACCTGCTACCAGGGTTTTTAGTTTACCTTGTTTATTTCCCACTCGATATCAAACCTTGTTTTGCTATTCGAAAAATTCATGCCATTCTGTTGCATGGCTGAGACATGTTAAGAAATGTTTGAATTCTCCTATACTTGTTCGTTCATTATTTTGACTACCTACTCAGTGCATAAGGAGCGGGGGCACATGCCCCCACTCAAATTTTGGGTTTTCCAAAAAAATGTCTTATTCTGCATACGTACGTGTTAAGCACCAGACCAGTGATCTTCGCAATATTGGGCTGCACCACATTTCTTGCCACCACCATTAGTGGTGTCCAAACAACAGTGAGTGAAAATTTTCTTCATTTTACCTGCAGCAGCGAGCTGCAACAGAATCGAGGAATCGGATCGACCAAAACCAAAAACCCTAGTCTGGTCTCTGGTGATCTCAAATCTTGTGCTAGCACCACACCTACAAATAGAATGTATATTTTCTTTATGTATATTTTGTTTGAAAACCAGAATTTGAGTGGGGGCACGTGCCCCTGCTCCTTGTGTATTGGGTCCGCCCCTCGTTGTCATAGCTAGCTCCTAGTATTCACTGCCAAACATGTATGTTGCTAATATAACAACAACGACTCAAAAATATAACAACGACGACTCTCACCCGAACGTGATTTCAATGCTGGTTGGAGTTGTCTGATCATTATATTGTAGTGCACTAGTTCCTTGACAAAGAACTTGCCCGTGGAGGTGATGTTGTACTGGTACGGTGAGGGGCCGCACAAGCCACACAAGTTTACACCGATCAATACTACACAATGGCTGCAAAGTGACCGATCAATACTACACAATGGCTCGTTTTTGTACATGAGTTCAGATAGCATTTGCTGGGACGTCTGGTTGATGCAAAGATGAATAGGAATCACTAATGCGGGTGTGCCCTTGTCAAGTGAGCGTGCCCCTGTTGGCCTGTTCCCTGCGCATGTATTTGGTCGTTCCTTCCTCTTTCAGTTCACAAACTGAATAAAGCTGAACAACCATTGTATCAGTTACATCGGGATCAAATATCTCATGTTGGCTGGCACTTCAATGCAGTTGAGACGGCGGCTTTTGTCTTCACAAGACGGATCTGGGCAGATCATGGCCTCCAGGGACGGACGAAGGGGCTCATAATCGGCTAGTTGAAAGCAAGCCTTGTACTTGTTGAACCGTGATAATTTCTGAATTGCACACATTATGTAAAGTGCTTTGGGTTAATAATCAAACAAAACTTTCAATGCATAGTGTCATTGTGTTCTTTCATAGGATGGTCATAACATTTGATGTGTAACGCACAGGATTGGAGGATCATCGAATCAAATGAAACTTTTTGCCCCCAGCGCCGGTGTGGAACAGGTCCTTTTTACAGCTTGGTTGGCTCCACCCCAAATCCCCAATTCACCTCAATTCATGCAGGTTGAGAGGGATTGAGGTGGAAAATTAGTTCATTTTAATTTCTATCCTAATCTATCACAATCTATGTGGAATAGAGTGCATCCAAACAAATTCTTAATATTCCTCCTCCCCACCATCAATGTGAGTACGTATATGCTGTGAAGTCTACAAAAAACAATTGTTATCTGTGAGTGAGCGAGCGAGCTACACGGAGCAGCGCAGACAACTTGCATTGCGAGAATAGACGAAAGACAAAAAAGGGATGGAGGATTTCAACTTTGGTTGATCTTTGATTGGCACCAAATTTGGTAGAGTTTTTCTACACTGCAAGGGTACTTCGACTCTGGGTAATTATATTAAGCTTATTTGAGAGCTGGCTGATTAGTTCGTCGAGAAAGAGGGGGGTTAATTCGAGATGTACTTTTTTTTAAAAAAACAACAACAAGTACGTGACGGTGCTTATTTCATTGATAAGCGGGTATTAGAAAAAGACAAAATAGTTCTTTTAAATAAAAATACATTTACATAAACAAAGTTGTTAGATGTTGTGCACCTGTAATCGCTCAAGTTCGTCCTATAAAAAAAATCGCTCGAGTTCGTGCTTCCTCCTTTATCTTGCTCAAGAGCTAGCACATGTGCGGCGCCAACTCCATTTGAGGGATTCAAGATGTTCTGAGAACAAGCAACTAGTACGTAGGAGGTTATTGTCTTTGGTGGTGAAATGGTGCCAAATCTTATCCAGAGCTAGCAACTCAAACATTGCAAAATATATGCCGAGCCCGAGACCTGAGTGGACAAAAGGCATGAAACGGACGCAAATTCGAAGTGTGTACAAACTACTACTACATTGCTCTACTGGGCCAGCACGTTTTTCCTGGGCCGTACCCCTGCTCCAGGCCGGCCCCAGAAAAGCCCGGACAGCCTTCGTCTATGCCGTTGCGTTGCCTACGTACAGCCGGCGACCATGCCGTTCCGGGGGGTTTCGTTGCGCGCGCGTTACTGCCGCCATGCGCTGTCACCCACCCACTCCCCCACTCCCCCACTCCCCGGCCGTGACCGTGAGGGGAGCCTACTGTTCCGTAGAGGCCGCGTTACCCTCTTCCCATCCCTCTCCCCTCCCTACAAAAAGGAGACGACGTGTCCGTCCCTGGCCATCACCAGTTCACCGCTCCACTCCACTACCGCCGCCACCCCCACAGGCCACAACACAACTGTCGCCCCGGCCGTAGGGGAGGGAGAGCAGGAGGAAGCGAGCGAGCAACCCACCGGCGGAGATGCAGATCTTCGTGAAGACGCTGACGGGGAAGACCATCACGCTGGAGGTCGAGAGCAGCGACACCATCGCCAACGTCAAGGCCAAGATCCAGGACAAGGAAGGTAAACCAGCAGCAAAGTCGAAAGCTTGCTCCTTTTAGCGTCTCCTATCCGCTGCTCCAAAGTCGAAAGCTTGCTCCTTTCTGTGGTCTCGATGTGTTCTTGTAGCCAGTTACTTGATCATCGATGTGCATGTCAGCATGTGGTTGGGTTGATCGCGCCCTCCTCTCTCTGTCTCTCTTCGGTGTTCCGTTTGTGTGACTACGCGGGCTGCAACTTCCACCATTTAATGCTTGAAAGTTTGATCTTTTTTCATATGTTTATTACTTTCCCTTGCACGCTTTGGAATTTCACATGTTCTGGGTTTACTGATCGTGCGCCGTGTCCGATCCTGATGATTTTGGGTTAGAACAGAGCACTTTGATGTTTCGATCTGCTTAGATTAAACTCAAAAACAAAACTTTCTTTTTGATCCGGTCAAGCACAGCGCTTGGTTGCGTTTTTGAGTTATTACTTTACTAATAATCTTTGAGCTTCTTGGGGTTAATATAGTCGGGGGTGGCATGATCGGATTCTTGGCAACTCCACAGCTTATTTGAACTGATCAGATCCCTGTTTCCAACCTCGGATTTTGATCTATGTAGCGAACTAACCGGTCATGGAAACTGTTGTTTAACCAATTTATTTGCAGGCATCCCGCCGGACCAGCAGCGGCTCATCTTCGCCGGGAAGCAGCTGGATGACGACCGCACCCTGGCCGACTACAGCATCCAGAAGGAGTCCACGCTGCACCTGGTGCTCCGCCTCCGCGGCGGCGGCAGGGGCGGCTACCCCCTCATGAGCGTCCCGTGGGACCTCATCAACCTTGCCCGCAAGCACAATGAGAGCAAGATGATCTGCCGCAAGTACGTACCGAGGCCTTAATTCTGCTAACTCTACTGATCTCTTCTGTATGTAAATGTTATAATTTCGTACAGTATGTGTGGTGGCTGCGTTGTCTTGTTAGATCGAGGTAACTGAACGTCTGAACCCAAGTGGTCGCTCTCTGTTTCCATGTATATGGTCCGGTACTCCGGTCCTCTGTGTTCACTGCATGCAAATGAAGTAAATGTAATGAGATTGATGCAATGATATGTATGATATGATGTGCAAAATGGAGCTCAATACATGCCCTTTGATTCTGGCTTGTTTGTTTCAGTTAGATAGTTGATCTCATTACACAGCCACGCCTTGCTTGTATAGTTATTGTCAAATCTAATGATGAATCATAAGACATGCACAGCTGCCTCTAGTTAAACACAGTAAATTTATCTATTCACTATTTTATTACCATTTATACATGTTTCTTCATTTACTAAGTTTTGCGTTGTTTACTCTTGTGTTATTATGTCTATGTTTTCATTAGCACTTGAGGATTGTGCCTCTTCAGCTTCTTTCTTTAGCTTAAAACTGTGCCTGTAATGTCTTCGCAGGTGCTATGCGCGCCTTCCCCCCAGGTCCAAAAACTGCCGCAAGAAGAAGTGTGGCCGCAGCAACGAGGTAATAAAGCCTTGTTTTCCCCTGCCATCCAAGTGTTCTATAAGTACGCCAACATTATTAATGTTCTTAGATTTGCTCTTCTACTTTAATACAATGATGCACAAATCTTTTGTGTACTCGAGAAAAAAAAAATGTTCTTGGTTTTGTTGCATCGCCCATGCTATGATCTCAGTCATCATATGATGCTGGTGTAAGAGTGGATATAAAATGGCATCACTGTGTTCAAGTTATATCAATAGCATTGTAGCAGTTTAGATGTCAATGGAATCCAAGCTCATTTATTTTCATGTAATGCTTGTTCTAGTTTCTTAATTAGTCTATATAAATCTACTCTTTTGAACCATGTCCTGTTTTAGAACAATTTGTTGAACCATACAGTGTAGTGATTTTTTTGTTCATTCTTTGATTTTCGCTCTAATATTACTTTTCAGCTGAGGTCAAAGAAGAAGTTCATCTCCAAGTTTACCATGTGAGCTTTGGAAAGCGACATTCTGGAGTGCCATACTGCCATCTGAAAGCGTCATGTATCAGTTGTTGAATCACCTTGTCAAAACATTTCTATCATGGGTGTTAGTTGTCCTAGCTTAAGTTCCTATCTACGTGTTGAACATTAAATACTCTTTCAAATACTCCATGCTGTTTCAGCGCGTGCAGTGGCATGCCTAAGAAATGCTAGTGGCTGGAGGTTGGAATCTTTTTCACTGTCTGAATCCTTTGAGTTGTTCAGTTTGGAAGAAGAGGTGGATGAGAACTAGTTGGATAATGGCATCTTATCAATATGCTCGTCTCTTGTGTGAATTGCAGATGCATGATCGGGGATAGTCACTTGTTAGTGATGAACTCACTAACATTAGCACCATTTTGTTACTGATTTGTGACAAAACTGAAGTAGTATAATAGTAAATGGAGATAAACTTTCCTGTGGGGTTTGAGTCTTGGGTCCTGACTGTTTGGGTAGGACCGTAGGTGTGCGTTTGAAACATGTGATGTGGCCATCGAGTTGTGTTAATTCTAGACTGGCTCTGTTTCATCCATAGGTTTCGTTTTACACTGAATCCTTGATCAGTACTGCAGTAGCAAACTGCCGTGTTAACTGTAGCAGCTGAGAAAAGTTCTTTTGGCTGGATGCTGAAACTTTTGTTATTCTTTCTGAGGACTAGAGTTACTCAGTTTGGAAGAAGAGAGGGGATGGGAATTAGTTGGAGAGTAGCATCTATATGGTTTCTGCTCTCTTGTCTGAAGATGTTTGATCCGGAGCATTCAATCGTTAGATAGCATTTCTAGTGATTGGTGATGAACACAACTAGTATTAGCAACATGATTACTACCGAGGGATGATCTTGCTCATATCATTTGAGTCCTCGCTGTTGAGGTGTTGTGATTCTGGATAGACAGAAAACAAGGTACATGAATGAAGTTGGGCGTTACCGACTGCTTTCCTCTCCCTCTGCATATGGATGTAATGTAACTGTCTGAGTTGTGTTCTGCACTGTCTATATTTCTGGAGTACATAGGTTTTTTTGTTTTACGCTAAATCCTTGACAGCAGAGTAGTAACTTGCTACTATTTTGGATTGTTGGTAGTGGGGACTGATCGAGGTGATTGCAAATATTTTGCCACCCCAGATGAGGTTCAGATGTAGCTTTCGAAGTTTTAATTGGAATATTTGTGCTTGAATAAAGGGCGTACCCAGTGCAAAGAGCTCCCGCTCTGTGCGGGGTCTGGGAAATGTGTCAGTGGCAAGTCTTACCCTCGCCTGTGCAATGCCAGAAGACCGCGACTCGAACCCGGGACCTTTCGGTCACAGGCGGTAAGACTCTACCGCTTGCACCAGGCCCGCCCTTCAATATTTGTGCTTGAATGGCTGCAAATTTAGGTTTGAGCTGTGGAGTTTGTGAGTGTCAGATAATTGCTCAATGTGCTGGAAGTGCAACAATGAAATAAATGGGCCTCTGAACGTTTAGCCACTGTCATAGCCTACACCATGCAGCTACGTGATCACTGCGATTGCCTGCTGAAGAAGCTCATGTCAATGCGGAGGCCTACAGCAGGACCCTGAGAAGATGAATCCTTCACCTGTGCAGTGTAATTACAACAGTAAAGACACTCTCCTTTCCCTAATTCAATGCCGCATGTAACTGCAACAGGAAAAGAAGCCCTTTAAACACCCTCTGAAGTCTGAACCAGCACACTGTAACTAAAACTCCACTTCCTAATTCGATGTCCACTGTAACTACATACATACTAGACTAAAAAGGGCGAACAAGTTGTCAAGACAGGAAAGAGAGGTCATCAGAGACGCAGGCAAGGAGACCAAGCTGCAGAGTTACCATGATCACCAGACTAAAGCATGAAGAGTCAAAAGGTGAAAGCAATCAATCAGTTGACCACTTTGTTTCAGCAAGCAAGAGATGCAGGCTTGGGACTTGGAACAAAATTCAAGTCCCAGAAAGCAAGGTAAAATGACCATATATTATGCTGCAAAATCAAAAAGAAATCGAACAACAAATTGGCATTTTCCTCATTGTTTCCTACCCATGTGTCTCATACAGTGCAGCTTCAAAATTACTGGGTTCGGTTCATCATCTAATCCTCGTCTCGTCTCCCGTGGACCATTCCCCAACGAACAGGGAAGTGAACGAACGCTGTCTCCATCCATTGGGACCGCCATGGATTTCTGCAATGCCATTGAGCAGAATGGCATGAAGAAGAAGAACTGATCCGCCCGCCCTCGCCCCAAGCGAGGAGCCGGTCGGGTCAGTTGCTGGAGTTGGGGCCGTAGCAGGCGCCGCGGACGGGGTTCCAGAGCCACTGCACGAGGAACCGCCGGCCGTTGACGCCGTTCACGTTGTAGGCGCTGCCATCGGGCGCGCGGGACACGTTCCCGACCAGGCCGCCCGCGCCGCCTCCGTCGCCGTAGACGCCCAGGCACAGGTCCGCGATCTCGGTCGGAGCCGTCGGCGTGTCCCCGGCGTACCACGCGTTCACCAGCGGGTTCGTGGACATCTCCGCCAGCTCGTGCCCCAGCACGATCACCATGCCGTCCACCCCGGCGTCGCCGTTGGGCGGCCGCAGCACCGCCTGGGCTCCCCCGCCGCCGTACTCGGCGGCGGCGGCGAACGGGTACGCGCACTTGCCCGGGCACTGGGTGGCGCTGTTACCGACCCAGGCGTAGGGCACCGTGACCCCAACCACGGACGCGAAGGTGAAGTAGTGGAAGCCGCAGACGGCGCGGCAGAACTCGTCCACCTGCACGTCGGGGGACGTCAGCACCAGGTATGCGCCGCTGTAGGGGTCCAGCGGCAGCGGGTCCGGGTACGCGTACACCGCCGACCGGATCACGGACTGCACGTCGATGCGCCGGAGCGACGCGCCGTGGGAGTAGCCCGCGTCGGAGTGCTCCCCGGCGACGGCGAAGGCGCCCGTCACGTTGGCGCCCGTCTGGTCCGCGTACATCCGCGGCGTGCGCGCCCACCAGTCGGAGACGGCCGGGAACGGCGCCGGCGCCGAGAGCGAGGCGAGGAAGTCCCGGAGCACGGCCTGCGCCGCGGCCTCCCACCGCCCGTACCAGATGAGGTAGAGGTTGGTCGGCGACCCGGACACGACGGGGCCCATGTGGTACTGCATGTCCACCAGCTGGTTCCCGTCCACCAGGTAGTCCGCGCGGTACACCGGCGCGCCCCGGACGGCAGCGAGGCTGCTGCTGGAGATGCAGATCGCCGCGGCAGCGGCAGCGGCGAGGAGGAGGGGGGAAGGGTGGCGAGGGAGCAGCCTCCCCATTTCGGTGGGATGCGTGGACTGGAGTGGAGTGAAGGCTGAAAGTGAGTCACCGAGCTGGCAGCTGGGTTTTTGGTGCCTTTTGAGTTTGAACAAACCCTCACGCCTTTTTTTAAAGAAAAAAGAAGTTTCGGGTACAGTATTATAAACAGATCATTGCATTAAGACCATTAAACATACTATTGCATTAAACAGACTTTGTGTTTAAAATTAAGAGACTAGTAAGTTTCAAGTACATATCTTTTTCGAAAGATCAGTTTCAAGTACATACTGTATCAAATTTAGCGTAGAACATGTCGTACGTCGAGTCCACTATGCAATCAATAAATTTTCTTTAAAAGAAATGGAGAGACCCAACCTAGAAGGTTCTTTTACTGAAAAGATGGAACTTTGGCATCCAAAATCGAATGTTGAGAAAGACTTGAATCAAGGTGGCTTTAATAAATTTCATTAACTCGGTATCCAAAGCTTAAGAGATTTGGCTATAATTTTTGTAATATAAGACAGCATGCATCTACGAGTAAAAAATTGATATGAAATTGCCAAGAAACAGAATCACCACCGTTTCCTATTGAGAAACCAAAATCGATATGAAACTCTTTAGGATGGGATCAAACTGACAAGAGTACAAGACCCGGACTCTCTCTAGAACGTTTTGATCCATAGAAATTACACGGTAATCCATCAACTCATGGTTTACATAGTTAATCTTATCTTGTTTCCCTACTTATGAGATTAAACCAAGTGACAGACCAATCTGATTATCTGAACCAGTGCTGGCTGTAGGAGGACTGGAGGAGGCTTTGATCTTTTCTAGTGCTGGTTGCATCTGGGCCGGGACCACTACCAGGACCGACCTCTTGATGTTTGCCACGGACTACTCGTCAACGGTTGCGCGCAGCTCAAGGTTGCACTTATTAGACTATCTCCAACCGAGCTCACCCAAACCGGACACCCGTTTCAGGATTTAGGTCACCTACAGTGAAAGAGTCCCGCACCCACACCATGTCTTCTCCAACAGACCACGCAAAAAATCCTCACCTGCTCCCTCTCCTTCCACGCAGCATCGACCGGCCCTCCCCAGCGTCCCATCCCTCCCCGACGGCCCTCCCCGGCGGCGCCCGACCCTGGATCTGGCTTCTCCCGGCGCAGCGAGCCTCACGGCAGCGCCCAGCGGTTCTCCCGACGCGCAGCCTCTCTCCTCGGCACTCCTCCCCGCCCACGCCCCTACCCTGCCGGCCTCCCTCGCCGGTGGAGCCCCTCGCCAGTGGCAAGCACCGGCGTGCACGCAGCGGCTATGCCCTGCCCCCAGTGCGGCGGCCTTTCCTCCCCGCGGCGACCTCTGCTCTGCGTGCCTCCTCCCAAGCCGGCCTCGCGCCTCCTCCTCCCCACCCCACCGGACATCCTCCGCCCCAGCACGACCTCCCCACGGTGGCCTTCCCTAGCACAGGCGCATGGCGGCGTCCCTGAGGACTACCCCGCGTGGTCCCGACGGCGGCCTGAGGACGACGGCACGCGCAGCCCCGACGGCGACCGGAGCACTGGGAGCTGGATCTGGCCCGGGCGGCCGCCTGCTCGGAGCGTCGGCGGCTCCTTAGCGCGGTCGCGCCGGCCGCGCTCCTCCGCGGTCTCGCCGAGCCGAGCCGGCCGCGCCTCGCCACGGGCCCACCACTTCGGGCGTCAGAGATTTGCGTCG